CACACACACACACACACACACACACACACACACACACACACACACACACACACTTCCCCTTTCTCTGCTTGACATTTATAGAGTTCCTTTATTGTCTGCTCAGATTAATGTGATTATTAATTATCCAATGACATAATTAAGATATTTCAGGGTGATGAAATCTGTGACGCTCATTACTGAAGCCTAATTTATTATAAATTCTCCAAACTATTTTATATTTGTGGGTAAAAGCTCTATGTGGAATAAATTTAGCAGAATTTAGTCTTGTAACTAAATGAAAGTAGCCCAGTTCGATTATCAGGAGCAAACAAACAGGGGTTGACAACCATTGTTTAGGTTGTCGAGACAATCAGATCCTGCCTCCTGGTTGTCCGCTGGACAATCTGAAAAAATCCTTATGTCTATCCCTGCCAAATATCTCATCTTAGCTTGTGTAAGGCAATGCAAACTCAATACAATAAAACTTCTATTAGGACACAACATATACAGCAGTTTTACAAGTCACTGACCTGCTCCACTCGACTTCTGGTCTGGAGATACGGGTCGTACCGAGCTCGGATCGCTCTCATCGACGTTGGCTACAGAAAAGGTAAACAAAACGACACTCAGAAAAGAACAAAAAATCTTTGAATTTAACCCACAAACCAAAATGTTTAGAGCTCAACATAACAGAAAAAAATATGACTAAGATTAAACAAGTAAATTTCCCCACAGACACGTAAATTTGGGAAAAAAAGACTTTTAGGTAAAATGACAACAAGAAATAACTATTCTGATTAGGTAAATCGGTGGAATAAAAGAGCTTCACCTCGTAGCCGGTGTAAGACTGTGTGGAGTACTCAAAGTCAGAGTCCGGCCCACCAGGACAGTAGCTGCCAAAGTAAAGATTGAACAAATTTATACATAAATGTCAGAGTAGAACGACAGAAAAACAAGCATTTCATTCAGACAAGTGTTGGAATCATCAAAGCATAGTGTACCATTTAAAGAAATGTTTTCAGTAAGTAACTTTATTTCTATAGCACTTCAGTCAAGTAGCCACAAAGTGCTTCACAATAAAACAAATCAGTACAATAAAACTTGAGATAAAAGAGATCTTGAGATAAAAATTCAAAGAGTTTTTATCCATAAAGTATTTGCATCATAAACTCTACATCCACACCTACCCATCATCCACCACACACTCTAATCTTTCAAGACATTAGTAAACTAAAATGTGCAGTGCATATACTCTATCTGGCACTCATTTTCTTTCTGCACCACTCAGAGTAGTATTTATTATTTGCCTCACCACTGTGCTGTAGCTAATAATGTTGTATTTTATTTCATAGAAATACATTTTTTAGATGGTATCTATATATTTCATCAGGTAAGACCTGGAGCTCAGTGTAGGAAAACTTTTTTTTCTTCTTTCAGTCACTTTTGCTGGATTTGTGACAAAAGATCATAAACAAAACACTGCAAATGCTTACAGGTGCTAAACTTAATAGTTGTGTTTGCAGCAGCATAGAATTAGCGCTGATTACTTTGTGATTTTGATGCTGAGACAGAAAAGATGGGCAAACAATGCCTAAAAAAGGTTCCAAAACCAGGTGCTGTAGTCTTTGAATCTTTGCCTGAGTGTCTCAGAAACAGCTCAGGTAGAAAAGCTTTGGGGTGAAACGACCTAAGGTTCTCTTCTACTGACTTGTTTGTAAAAACAGACCATGTTTAAAACATAATAACTTTAGAACAACAAAATAATTAAAGACTTACACACAGATGTTTCCTGTAAAGCTGATGTGGGGACATCGATGTGGTTTGCACATCACAGCTACAACCGCAATCTGTGACAAAGACAGGAGTTTAAAAATGTTCTAATTTTTATCACTTTTTGTTTTATTTTCCGTCTCTCTTTTAAAATGTGAGTGTTCAAACAATAGCTTAGATTTCAGAAACATCATTGGTTTAGCACAACCTTCAGACACAATTACCAATGACTGAATGCAAACTTCTCACCCCACTGGCAGTGCGGATTGGTTTGGCTTTCAGTTTGGGCACCAGAACCTGGCGGTACTGAGGTGGAACAGCTGCAATGATATCCACCAATCGAGGCTGAGCTTCAAGTCCATATTTAGCTGAGGTTTTAGTCTTGACTCTGTTTGGAAACACATTAGACAGTTTAAAATTGGTAAACAAACGAACAAAAAACATTTTATTTTCCGACACTAAAGTTTATTTATAATGTATAATATCACCTAAACTAAACTATGACGATTAGGCCTGTCACGACAACAAATTTTGCTGGGCGATTAATTGTCTCAAAAATTATTGCGATAAGTGATAATATTGCGTGGTGACCATTTTACAACTAATAATTATAAAAGCGTAATATGTAAGTGTAATAAATCAATAAACTTTAATTTTTAAAAGAATGTTTAACAAAGTGGACTCTCAGTCTCTAACAAAAAATGCACTTGAATAAAAAAAAAACAAAGAACAACAAAATGTAAATTAAACACCACACACAACTGAAMCAGTAAATAAACAATATTAAAGATCAGCATCTCTTTAGAGATGAAGCAAACTACACAGCCTGGTGAGGACCCACTGTTTCTTATGGGGACATAAGCCCAGTTCACATCCCATGTAAAGTTTAGGCTAGGTTTAGGGTCAAATGGTAATAGAAAATACTTGTAAATGAATCAAAGTCAATGCAAAGTCCCCATGAGGATAGAAGAACAAACGTGTATGTGTGTGTGTGAGGAGGGGACAATCAGTGAGGAGACAAGCAGAGCGCTGCGGGGAGGATCAGACAGTTCAGAGTTTTCCTCATGAGTTGTTGGGACAGCTACAGGTTTTTTGGGTGTTTTGTTAAAACACAGATGGTGTGTTTGAGTTTCCTGTTATTTTTGGGAGCTACAGGTAAAGTCTTGATGAGCTTGACGCGGGTCTGGGGGAGTTTCAGCCCCCACCCCTTCTCCTCCTCCTCTCTCTCTCTCTCTCTCTCTGTGTGTCTCCCCGCAGTGAAATTCAGGCTCTAGTGCTCCGACACTGCAGCAGCCGCATTCTGCTTTGAAACGTTTATTTAGCAACGAGCTCTCATGCTAATGCGAGAGTTGACTCCTCCCACACTAAGAAAACAGGAGGGGAGAAGTCAGCTGAGCTCCTGTGTAGCGGAGCACAGAGAGGGAGAGAGAGGAAGTAAACCAACAAGCAGGAAAATGAAACTTATCGTCCTCTTTTTTTTTACCGACCTCAAAATAACTTATCGTGCAATTAATTGATTTATTGACTATCGCGACAGGCCTAATGACGATGTTCATGTAATTTCACCTTCCATGGGGGCAGCACTCGGACAGAGAGCAGAGGGGTCAAATTAGCTGTGAGCTGTTTTTTTCTCTTGATCCAGTGAGTTGCGGCTGTAAAAGCACCTCGTCGAATGTTTTTTAGGTGGTTTGTGAAATGCTCAAGTGTTTATTGATGACTACTGAGGGGTATTATTAGTGCTTTAGCTTCACTGCTCAGTGATGGTGAGTGCTATTTTTAGCACATGCTCTGTGGGACACAAACGTTATGCCTGGTGGTCCATCAACCTTATAATGTGGTGGGAGACACCCTGTGAAACTGATATTTGAGCCTCTTCATATTTGTGACAAATTCAGTGCTTTGTTGAGCTGCTAGTCACATGGCTAACCATATTTGATAAAGTCTACATTATATGTTTGTATGATTTTGGTCTTTTTGGTGAAATTTTTTCATTTTTGCTTCCAACTTTTCTCTAACTTTTGATAGCGGAGATTCATGAGAATCTAAGATTCTTCTTCTATGTTGTTAAATGTCCGCTACTAGCAGTGAGAAAGTTTGTTCCAACTCAGTCAATTGACAACCAATGACATCCCGCAGCCCAAAGTTGAAAAACAGATTTTTCTTTGAGGTCCTCAAGGTGGCATCACAGCTCAAAGGTTAAATATACTATATTGCCAAAAGTATTTGATTACCTGTCTTGACTCACATACGATCTTAAAGGGATCCCCGATTAATTGTAACATTAGACTTTATTTGATAAACATATATTTTAACTGTAAAATAAAGACTGTAAAAATACTGTAGGCTGTTTAGTTTTTATAAATTTTAAACTAAAAGTTTAAAAACATATCACACGGATGGGGCCATTTTATTTACACACAAAGCATTCTGGGTAAATGATGACGTGGATAGGTCCTCGGTGTGAGGCTGCTAGCGAGCTATATCCACCCTGAAGATTAATCTTGGACAATATCTGATGATCGACTCTTTTAAATGAAACCAGAAAGCGTTGACAGAGAGGAGAAGGTAGAAAYRACTCAGCCTGGAACTGAAAATATGGATGGAGGACAACAGAGCTGCTTCATGGAAGAAGAACCTCAGCTTAGCCTGTTAGCTTTAGTGTTAGCATTGACACTATCACTATATATGTATTAGCTCAGCGCTACACATTCTCCTCTCATCACTGAGGTCCTCCATCCACATGACAGAGAGGGAAACACAAAAATGACTCAGTCTGCAACTAATAATATGGATGGAGGACCTCAGTTTAGCTTGTTTGTCGCGCTAGCACCGAGCTAATCCATATAATGATATATAGCATCAGCACTAGCACAACAGGCTAAGCTGAGGTTCTTCTTCCATGAAGCAGCTCTGTTGTCCTCCATCTATATTTTCAGTTACAGGCTGTGAGTCATTTCTACCTTCTCCTCTCTGTCAACGCTCTCTGGTTTCATTTAAAAGAGTCGATCATCAGATATTGTCCAAGATTAACCTTCAGGGTGGATATAGCTCGCTAGCAGCCTCGCACCGAGGACCTATCCACGTCATCATTTACCCAGAATGCTTTGTGTGTAAATAAAATGGCTCCGTCCGTGTTAAAATATATTTTTATAAATTTACAAAACTAAACAGCCCTCAGTATTTTTACAGTCTTTATTTTACAGTTAAAATATATGTTTATCAAATAAAGTTTAATATTACAGCTAATCATGGATCCCTTTAAGTGACATCCCATTTCTAATCCATAGAGTTCAATGTGACGTTGGGCCACCCTTTTCAGCTAGAACAGCTTCAACTCTTCTGAAGGCCGTCCTCAAGGTTTAGGAGCGTTTGGGGATTTTTGATCATTCTTCCAGAAGCACATTTGTGAGGTCACATACTGATGTTGGACAGAAGGCCTGGCTCTCAGTCTCTGCTCTAATTCATCCCAAAGCTGTTCTATCAGGTTGAGGTCAGGACTCTGTGCAGGCCAGTCCAGTTCATCCACACCAGACTCTGCATCCATGTCTTTATRGACCCTTTGTGCACTGGTGCACAGTCATTTGGATGGGTGAGCAAATACTTTTGGCAATATAGTGTATCTCTACCCTGAAGGGCATGCAAAAGCTTGGTCTCGCTGCAAAGGGAACGCGCTAAATTTTTCACCTCAGCCATCAAAAATGATTAAAGCTTGGGTAATACTTCAATACGATGTGAGACAGCGGGTTGGTGATTGTGTCACTTCAGTCATCTTTTTCCTGGCCGAGTATCATAATTCCTCCCACAGCTCATAGAAAAATATATAAACAATAATAGTGTTTTGTTGGGTGGAGAGTCCTCAGAGGAAAACCTTTTTATAAATATATTAAAATTTGAACCTCCTTACCAGTACAAGTCTCTACATTGAAATCTCAGTCAACATGGCTAATAAAAAGTCTTACTTGTTCAGGTTGATGTCTTTGCCTTGTTCATGGGCTTCAACCAGCTGTTTGATTACGTCAGCGATGGTCATCATCATCAGCTCAGCTCGACTGAGGTCACCTGTCAATCCACAAAATTCAGATAGATAGATAGATAGATAGATAGATAGATAGATAGATAGATAGATAGACTTGTTTTGTCATAGCAGCAGGGACAAAATAACTACAAAAAAAAATCAAAGTAAGACATCCTAAATTTCCAAACAAAACAAGTTTATAAAATAAATGGTTATGAAAAAATGTGTCTAGCAACAGTAAACCCAGACAATATGAAGTAGATAAGGTTAAATATATTGAGGCTGTAGCAGAGGCACTAACTAGCAYTGCGGAATATGGCAGAATTAATCCAAGTTCTGGCCAGGCAGGTGTAGTTAATGAAAGTAAAATTGTTGTACTTTTAAAATCAGCAGAAAAACATACACGTATAAAGACAATAAAAACGGACGTTTCGATTTTTCATGAGAAAAGTTCTCTATCACTACTGGTTAGCATTAGCAGCGAGCTATTTCCTGCTACACAAAACCTCATTTAATACACCGACACAAACTTACTCTTTTTCTTTGGTTTCCCCATTTCTTTTAAAGGCACTAAGTCAGTGTTCACACGACTGGGAAACTGCTAAAACGTCCACATTAGACTGTCAACTCTAAAAAGACTTGACCAAAAAGTAAACAACTGCACGTTTCGACGTAATACGGCTTCTGCCGTACGGCAAGGCATACTGTTGTAAAATCACGTACACGCGACAGCGCTCCGATTAAACCGCTGAGACCTTCTTATAACTCAGTGCGTTTCATATTAACACGGGCTAGCCAGTGCTGTGCTTTTTAGGTTCATCCTGATGATAAAATAAGATCTAACTCGTTTTTTAAATATAATAAATATTTATTTGATAATAACGTTGTAATTGCACGAACATCCACACGATGGCGCTTGTTTCCCAAGTACGCTCAGTGCGCGCGCGTTTGTGCGCGTGGAGCGGCTGGAGGTTCACTAAATCTGACTGCAAATCCCCTTAGCTGTGAGTTGACATGGTTTGACTGAGCTCTGCGGGAAGTTTCAGGAAATGCAACAGGTGGAAGAGCTCGAGGGGTCTACTGTGTCCGGCTGTAAGTGTTTCGGCCTGTATTTACACTGTGTTTCCCACCACGAACAGCTTGTTTTGTGGGGGGTCAGGTGAAGTTCTGTAAACATTTTTTTGTGTGTGTGTGTGTTTTGCTTCTTTAGCGTCGCCGGCTAGTTGTATCTGAAAGTGTCGCACTGAGAGGAGAGAGAGACAAGCAACTCTGGACTCGAGCGCTTTAAACACTTTAAAGTCTGTTATCTCCTAATGAAGCGTTTTTAAGGTATTTCATCGGATGAACGTTATATAAAACGTGTGCTGCGGTAAATAAACAACGTGTTTGAGTATAATTTAAGCAATGTTCTGTGTGCCTGGTGTTGTTTACATGCAGAGGATAACTGCTCGGCACCATGGATGAAAACAGCAGTGACTCAAATGTAAAGGTCGCTGTGCGACTGCGACCTATGAACAGGAGAGGTGAGTTGGGGGGGGGACACCCACCAAAAGACACTTCTTAACATGTGTGATTGACTTATTTGTGTTGTTTTTAAATCACTAGTCTGTGTGGCATTTTCCACAAGTCCTCACGCCCACTTTCTTTTAGGGGTACCCCTAAATGTGAGCCACCATATCAACGTTAGGGTTTAATTTTTTAATCTCAAATGCAGAAACACTGATTCTACAAAGAGTTTCATTTCCACACTCCTCCTGCAAGCTTTCAGAAAACTAAAAACAAAGCAGTTTTGTTTTTAGGGAAACAAGAGTAAAAACCCGTCAGTAGTTAAACAGGACGCAGATAAAGTTGAACTGATCATACATATTTTTTAATTTCAACAAAACCTTTTCCAGTTAATATGTGACTCTTGAACAAATCATCTTCTTTTGTTGAATWTTCTCATTTTATTTAGGAGTTTTTTCTTTCTCCAGGTCATCTGTTTAGCTGTTGTTTTTTTAGGTCAGTTATGAGAACTGTGGAGTTGACAACAGATAAATGCAGCGTAGTCTTCCCATCCTATGAGAAGCTTGACGATATTTAATGTGGTGCGCATTTTGACGCACTTTGACGGGTGTGAGGGTAACTGAGCTGCAGTGTCCACTGCGGAACAACAGCACCATTATGCGTTCCAAAGTGAAAGAGTGCAAATCTGAAGCAGTAAAATGTCACATGTGACCTAAAGTCTTCAACGACAGGAAGTGTTGGAGCGCTCGTCTCCGCCTGCCACAAGTCTTCAGGTGCAGGTATGAGGAAGAGAGGGCGTGACTCCATTCCTCCTGCCTGTCGGGTCAGGGTGTAGTAAACTCGCTGTAATGTTTGAACAGACGAGCCCTTGGATGAATCATCAGAAATAAAACAACTTCCTGCCTGAACTTCTGTCTGTCAGTGTGGATCTCACCTGTCGCTGAGCACACAGCGGGTAGTAAAGTTTAAAGCGGGTTGCAAAAATTATTCGCCCCTCTTGGTTTTTTATTTCTTTGTGTCGCCTTCCTGGAATTTAAATGTATTTTCAGTTTGTTTATTTGAACCAAAAGCTTGTTTTAAATATAGTTTTTAATAATGTAAAACTAGAAAGTGGTGCATGCTGCTGTATTCACCTCATTTCATCTATTAAATCCCCTACCATTACCTACAAATGCTACATATTTAGTTGGATTTATTAAAAGTGACACATGATCTGGCCTGTTCACTTGTTCTGGTTTGTGTGTGCGTTTMTCTGTAGTGTTAACAAAGTACCTGATGCACCAGTGGACGGGGGTGTCGCTCAATATGGCCACTATAAGCTGCACAGAGCTTAAGATTCAGTGAAGAATGGCAGTGAATAAGCAAATAAATAAATAAAATTAACACTATTTGGATAAAATTTTTGTTCAATAATATTTTTCACTCAAACTTGTGGACAGTTCTGTGGTCAGATGAGACTAAAATTGGACTTTTTATCCATGAAAACCATCACCATATCTGATGTCCATATTCAGCTTTTCATTAGGTTTAGATCACAACCCCACAGCAGATCATGGTGATAGCAGCATCATGACGTGGGGGTGCTTTTCACCAACAGGGACTGAAAAAATGGTCAAAGTTGAACGAAAGATGGAGCGAAACCCAGAGAAAGTCTTTTAGAGAATTAAATGTACTGAAATGTCCCGGTTATTGGACAGAATTCCAAGGGAATGAACACATTTGCAACCTGTCATTTTGGTTCTGTTTAAACTAATTACACAGCACACTGAGGCTGTCTGAGACATTTAGCAATTTTATATACATTTTATTTGTTACTAATGAGTAGGGCTGTGTATTGGCAAGAATTTGGCGATACGATACATATCATAACAGAGGGGTCACGATACGATATATCCCGATATATTGGGATACTGTAAGCGAGGCAATGTATTGCGACATATTGCGATTTTTTTGTCCAAAAATTCTATCAAATAAAAACCTCTTACTGAAAAAAAAGAAAAGCTAATCAGTGTGCATTGCCAATGCAGTGCACACTATTGTGATTTGTTTCCCATCCAAGTCATCTCCACTTTGGCACGTTTCTCCTCCTGCATACTTTGTCCTAGAGCTGCCATTGTAATTTATATCTGTAGAGCTCCTGTGCCAAATGATGGCTATGCCTTTTGGTGCCTGTACAACTTATAGATTTTGAAATATTAATGTTTAAAATCATACAATGCCAGTCAATGGAGCCTTATATTGGTCCAGTACTGCCCCTTCAGTACTGAACCATAGTTTAATAATATTTAAACTTAGTAGTTCAGTGATTACAATAATAATATATTGTATTTTGATGTTTTACTAAAATCTTGTCCTAATATTACTCTATTTTTGTAATATTATGCAGTTCTGTGTCAACAACTGCATTGGCAATGTGGCCTCTTTCTGCACACATACAAACCAACCCTTGGCAGTACCATCTGCCACAGCTCCAATGGTCTAATGGTTAAGTCTATGGGCTTTCATGTGGGAGATC